TGGCAAGCCCAAGGTCCTGAGTTCAATCCCCAGTACTGCAAAAAACAAAACAAAACAAAATAAACCACTACATACTCTCTTGCAAAACCAAGGATTTGAAGCATACTTCAGGCTTCAAACACGTGCACTTGAATCAGCCCTCCAAACTGGGTCCTACACACCCTGAATGTTGTTGGCAATTTACGGGAATACGGTTATTGGATTAATGGAAAATTGTGTCTTCTGCGTTTCAATGACAGCACACCGTCAAGCCTATTTTAGTGGGCTTTTTTTTTTTTTTTTTTTTTTTTTTTAAATAACTGCTTTCAAGGCTTATTCTCAGCCAGAAATGGTTCTACTTTTGGCTTCATTTATCCCCAAACTGATGTTGCCCTATTTATTTCACAGACTTATAAATGTCTGACATCAAAAATTAGCTTCACATATTATGTCTGGAAAAGGTTTTAAGAACTCTGAGATCTGTGCCTCTGAGCAAAGGCTTTATCAGCAGGTCCCAGTCACTGTTTCTTGAAAAAAGAAAATGGTACTGATTAAAAACCAATATACCTGATCTGCAAAAGCACACCTACCACGCACATACACGCTTAAACTCATGAAGAGCTTCTGTCCCCAACTCACACCCCACGGCTTGTATCCGTGGTGACTGGCTCCAAGGGGATGAACAGGACGATATAATTCTCAACCTAAACTACGCACTCAACAATTTCATCTTTATTAGTTATATTTTAAACATATTTAATTACTATGGCATCAGCTATCTTTCTAATGCCTATACCAGAGCATTTTCCAGATGTCTTTCTGCTTAACTAGAGAAAATGGACCAAATTTTTTATTTCACTTTTAATCAGAAATCTGTATACTAAACAATTTTAATTAGTTTTACTAGAACAAATCATTGTATTTGTATGGAGTAAGAATAACTGAGAAAAATGTTTCCCATCTTTATAAACCCTAGAAATATCATGTATTTCCAAAGCAATCTCACTCTCCGTAGAGTATGACAAGAAAAAACAGCCTTTTAAATAGAAAACGCCAAGTATTACAAAATTCCCATTTCTAAAATTGCAAAATGACAAAACACCAAAGCAGAAACACAGTGCTGTATCCTCAAAGAAACACATGCACATTTGTATCTAAGGTCTCTCACATACTACCCCTGGATGCTTCGGCGGGCAGCTTCATGCCGCATTCAGTGAGACAAGCTCACCAGCAAACAAGGAGGGAAGGCTGGGGCACAGCTGGAGGGCAGAAAATCACACGTGACTGCTTCCCAGTCCTGTGTGTCATTCAGGAAATTATCCAGGTTTACTAAGAGATTAACATGGATATGGAAAAGAGTCTATAATCCAGTATTCCACTTAAAACAACTTTCAGATGTGATATGCCAAGATGAAGTATAATCAATTTAAACTCTAAACATCTAAAGTCACCTCATCACTATTATAATAAATGTCCCAAGACAGAAAAGAATTAGCAAAAGATGCTAAAATAAGTGGATAAAATATGCAAAGAAGAATATCTGCACACAGTTTTACATTATCCCCAGTCTATAATGACTAAGTTAGTTACTCATTACGAAGGGGAAATAAGCAACTTGACAGCTGAGAGATTACCCTAATCAGATACTCAACGCAACCCCGCCAGGACATGGGATGAGGAGACAGCAGGTGAGAAGCACCCAACAATCTCTTCTGTCCTTTTTCTGCCCAAACTGCATAGTCTTAAATCAATCATGAGCAACAGACAAGCCAAAATTAAGGGACATGCTACAAAATAACTGGTCCCCACGCTTCAAAAACATTAAGGTCCTGAGAAATAAGACGAATTGATAAAAGATGAAAAAAAAGTTGAAAATGTAAGATGTTATAGACCAATATAAATATAATTTTGAAAGGAATTCATTAAGACAATAAGTGAGTTTAAAGTACAAAGACTGAAAAGAAAACTCTTCATGAATTTCCAGCTTTCTGAAAGTCAAGCCCTGTGGGGCCCCGCCATACCCCCAGGGCACACTGAGACTACGTTGAGATTGGGTGTGGTGTGGCCTATGCCTGTAATCCCAGAGTTTGGGAGGCGGAAAACAGGAGAATCACTAGGAGCTGATCTACATAGTGAGACCCTGTAACCCTATACCAAATACATAAAAAAAAATAAATAAATAAAAATTAAAAAATGAAAGTCAATTTCAAAGTAAGTTTTCTTTTAAAAGTAAAGTATGTTCAGTTCAAAACTTCAGCACTAATTCTTCTAATAAAAGGAATATAGAACCTACAGTAAAATAAATGCCTCTCAAAGAATTTCCCTCACTTCTGGTGCTAATAGAAAAAGAAAAAAAAAAAAAAGACAGCAGCTGATAGACCACATGGTGTCCACATCTTAATAATACTGCAGCCTAGGCTTTGCCTTACCCATCTTCTTTTTCCCTTAAAGGCAAAAGCCTCAGGAAATTGACTGACCTCGGAAACTGCTCTCATAGCTGCCATGGTATTTGGAAGAGATCATACAGTATACAATTCTTAGGTCTTCTACAAGGAAGGCTAGATAACCAATGAAAATGAGAAATCAGTTTGCCAAGTCCTATAATACTGAACAGACCAATGAAATCCAGAGCACTTGTAAAAGCAACAGGGCAACCATACTCTGGTCCTGCTGGTTTCCCTTCCTGAACTACCTACATATGGGGGGATCCATCTAGCTGTCTCCAAACCAGCCAGCATTCAACAGCAACCATGACCACACTGCCAGAACTTTTAACAGGATTCATGAGACACATGCTTAACATGTAGCACAACATGTAATACTTTACCATCAATAACACATTTAAGTACCAGTTCTCCAAAAGGTTTTGTTGAGGCTTCCAGCAGCTTCTATACAGCCCCTTTTTACTTACTTGTGACACAGACCAGTGACTGGCTGTTACTGTGTGTGCACTTTCTAGGCTCTGAAAGCCTGCTTAGATTGTAAATCACTCTTCTGTACCCCCCCCATCATGATGTTTTAGGATACATCCGATCCTTAGGGTTATTCATGAAAACCTTTTACTCTCTCTGAGACGGGGGTGTGGAGTCTGTTATAACTGAAATATGAAGTTTCAATTATGTGCTAAGGGATCATTTATCAGCGGATAACCTTTTGGGAAGTGACTGAATCATGAGGTCTCCTGCTTTTTCTCGCCTCCTGCCTGCTGAGAGGTGAAGCTGCCCTCCATTACACCCTCTCCACCATCATGCTCTGCCTCATCACAGGCCCAAAACCAAGACAGCTAGGCAACCACAGACTGAAGCCTCTGAAAGTCTGAGCCAAAATAAATCTTACCTTTTCAAGTTGATTTTCCCAGGAATTTTGAAACAGTAAAGAAAAGGTGAGTAATACAGGGCATCCGGTGGCAACTGAATGCATAATCAAAATGTACCGAACACTCAGAATGTACCAAATATGTACATCAGTATTATGGTTTGGTTTTATTTTGGGTACCGGGGATAGAAAGTACTGCTTTTAAAAATGAAGGAAATTCTGACACATACAGCACAAATAACTCTGAAGACATTACATCAACTGAAATACACCAGACACACAAACGGGCAAAGATTTCATGGTGTCACTTATAAGAAGTACTGGAGTGCAATTCAGACACAGAGGAATGGCTCCCAGAGAAGTCATTATTTAATCAGTACAGTGTTAGTTTGCAAGATGAAGAGTTCTGGAGATGGACGGTGGCTGTACAACAAATTGAATGCACTTAAGAGGTGAAGATGATAAATTTTATGCCTACTGTACCACAATAAAAAAAATTTTAAAGATAAAAGCTTGCTCTTTGAAAAGTCACAAAACTGACACACTTACTTCTTGCCAATGTTCCTGAGGCCTAGGGCTTTACCAATTCCCTTACATTAGTCATTAATACACAGGCATGCATATTACACACAAGTATTTCATGAGGGAAATGACTTTAAAAGGCCTAAAGGAAAAAAAAAAGTTAATTTTGAATCCACATGCCGCTCTTCTGAACTTTTTTTTTCTTCATAAAAAGTATAAAATTCACAAAATCATTAAAGACTGAGGCCAAAAACAGAGGAGAAAAACACATGCAAAAATTCCAACAGCCATCAATGGTTTGTTGGGAGGGGGGCATCTGATGGAGAAAAGCGCACAGTATTTGCCAAGAACAATCTACTTAAAGTTATCTTGAGTCTCCACTTAGAAAATTTCAGCTGCTTTGAGTTAAAAAAATGGAGCATGGCCAGCACTTTACACAGATGACCCATGAGGCTCCGTGTGTGACTAGCACCAGAAATAGTAATGGTTTGAGAAAGAAGGAAAGGAATAAGGACCCAAGCACTAAGATACAAACTAGGGTAGACACTTTTTTCTAAAAAGAATAAAAGGGAATTACAAACTAACAACAAAACAAATGCCAATATAAACTATGTTAATCCTCAACTGCAAGCATGCCCTCCCCACATCATCTTCTCACAGTAAAAGATTTTCATGAGGACTTCTATAATGAGAAAATGAATATTCAGTTTGCAAGTTAGTTCTCTATTATATATACTACAGGGGAAGACTTCCAATTCTCTAGGGCTGGGGAAGTAGACAGAATATAGTACACATTAAGAGAACATTTTAGTCCAGGATTAAGAAAAGGCTGAGGAATGTGACCTTAGAACATACAGCTACCTTCAGGAGGAGTGGAATTAAAGATATTAACTGGAAGAAGCAACCTCACCTGGAAAGAAGGCTCTCTCTAATCTAGGTAAAACTAGGGTTGAATATGAATCATGGATTATTTATAGTATTAAGTTTTAGACCAGAAAAGTTAAGAACACTAAACACGAGTAAAGCTTCAAAATAAAAGCAAAAGAAGCAGGAAAATAAATGAGTAAAACGGAAAACCATAAATCAAGTATTTTAGTATTGAATTTATTAATGAACATAGGCAGCATGAAAGTTCATTTTAGAAAAACTAGAAACACAGATGAAGTAAAATCGGGCTGGCTCACCTCGCGAGTAGCAAGCTGGTTGCTGAGCTCCTCGGCCTTCTCCACGTCCCACTCCTCCACAGCCTGGTCTATCCTCTTCTCAAGGCCTGACTAAAAAGAAAATAATTCTAAAAATTAAGGTCAGGAAAGTAGAGCAACACCAAATCCAGCACATGTGTAATCCATTTAGCTTTCACACTAATCGTATCAGGTTGTTGCTGCCATTACAATTTATAGATAAGAAGTCTTAAAAAACATTAAATGACTTACACCCCAGGTTATACAATATACTGAATTAATAATAAAAAGGTACTAATTCACAATCTTAACCAAAAGATTTCCCTTAATAATGACACTAATGATAATAGTAGTCAAAAACTTATGGTAGACCAAATTATTATATAATTATTATTATTATTATTAGTTACAGTTATTAAGAAACCACACTACCCAAATACCCTCCCCAACCTGGCCATAGACAGAGGACCCAAGAATAAAGCAGTGAATCCTATATTGTTAACCACACCACTTCCTACAGGCTGGATGGTAAACATGAGAAGAAATTATATAAAATGATTAATTTTCTTATGGAAATGTTCTGATTTGCTAAAGATGCTTCAAGAAATTCTAATTAAAATTTTATGGGATTACCAGGCTAGGTAGGACTCATGAATTTATGAAAAGATGTGCTGACATAAAATGAATTTTAGTTTGTGAAGATACTACAAACTAAAAATTTTAAAGGGCCTAATATATACTTTTCATAAAAAATTTTTTACCCCAACAATGGCTTACTTTGTATACATTAAATTTCCAAGTATTCAGTTAAACACTGAGCCCCTTTAATACCTTTTTTTTTTTTTTTTGGCAGAACCTGGGACTGAACTCAGGCCCTTGCACTTGCCAGGGAAGCGCTTATTCTGAGCCATCTCCCCGGCCCCATTCTAAGTACTTTTTTTTTGCTGAGCCCCCTTTAATAACAGAAATGCCTCCTCGATCAGTACACTGATGGGTTGCCAGTCAACTAGGAAAATGGTGCTCCTGTGCAGCCTTTGTTGAAAAACTGATCAGAGAAGCCAAGTCCGGTGAGGTCATCACTGCCATCCAGCCTCACATGGAGACCACTAGCTCTTACCCTTTCTCCCAAAACCTAGGGCCACTCAGCTACACCAGCTGGAGACCTTCACGCAACTGCTGGCCAAAACTTCTGACCTCAGCTCCTACAGCTGTGTGGCTTCACATTTTTTGCCAAATCCCCAGAAATTTGTCTGTCTCATATTCCTGTAGAACCCTCCTCTGATGGTCTAAGTGACACCCTGAACTCACTTTTCCAACATCTTTCATATTCAATGACCTCTAGCTCTCCCTACCTCAGAACTCCACCCCGTAACCCCATGTACTAATGTGTGCTAGGTACAGCAGCGGTCTGCGAGCAGTGCCAGTCCACAAACTCTTCATTTTGATCGTCTAAAGCCAAGGGGCTGGCTTGTATCGGAATGCAAATCAATTTCACAACTGACAGTTCTGTCTAGACAACTTGGTTCTCAGCCTCATCTTCAGCAACACTGTACTTCCCAATCTCTGGTCACAATAACCATTTTATTTACGTTCTCTGTGCCTCTGATGTGTTTTCCTTTGAAAAATCTTAATTATTTTTTCAGGCTCACACCAACTGTTACCCTCGCCATGGCCCTATGTACCCACTGACCCTGCTACCCCTCCCCATACCCCACACCAGACCACTCAAGTGCCCCTCAGGTCTCTTTTAATGTGCTCATCTGTCTCCTCTTGGCTTCTCTGCTCAGCTGAAGCACCCTTTCACTGCTCAGAAGGTCCCCAAACCCAGCAAAGTTCCTCCACACACAAAGCACTCAGTCTTTGCTCCGGAGCTAACGTTCACAGAGCACTCATCCATAATCTGAATTTGCATCAATATTAAAAGAACCCCACCCACCCTGGGAACATTTATTATACACCCACTGCTTTGAGAAACCCCCAAGTGAATCCTACAATAGGAATGTTGACATAATATTCTCATGGTAAAAAGGTGGGGGCAGCACTTGTTATTATGCATGCTTATATACATCTATCTGGCTATTAAAACATGTATTTCTTTTTTAAAATTTTTATTCATTTTATTTATTTGGTACAGGGTCTTGCTATGCCACTTGGACTCGTAGTAATCCTCCTGCCTCAGCCTCCCTAGCTTCTAGGATTATAGGTGTGTGCCACCACACGTGGTTCTGAGACCGGCATGGCATGTGGCACTGGGCATTGAACTCAGGGCTTGGCACTTAAAAGGCAGGCACACAGACCACTGAGCTATCCCACCAGCCCAAAACATGTTTCTGAAGGCATGGGGCATATTTTCTCCACCAGAGGTTCCCAGAGCTTTGAACAAGAGCTGTGCTTAAAACGTCATATTCATTAGTTATTACTTAATTTATAATGAAAATAAAATTTTTAAAATCTTGATATAATACGCTCTCCTTCCCATGTAGACTACTAGTTATCTCTTCAAATGCCACCAAGACACTGAAACAGAACATTAATATTAAATTCAGCTGTCACTGCATCACAAATACTGGGGTAGCCTGATAGCTCAACTAAAGAGTTTATGCAAATAACTCGTCAACACAGACCTGCTCCAATCTTCATCTCAGCAACCTGGTCAATAATGTATTCTTTTACACTGTTTTTCTGTTTTTTTTTTTTTTAAATTTATTGGCGCACTCTTGAAATACATAATGATCACAATCATCAGGGAATCTGTACGTGTATATGTCTTAACTCTTTTGTTCCTCATTCCATTCCTTTCCATCCTTCTTCCCTTCTCCCTTTATAAAATATTACTATTGTTTTCCTTCCATTCTTTTTTACCCATACTCCCCTTCCCTTAGCCCCTCCCTTATTCCCCATCCTGTGTGAACATTTTCTTTCCACTTTTCAATATCTATCAATGATTCTTATATAAACATTTCTTTTTTGGTACCAGGAATCGAAATCAGGACCTTGTGTCTACCAGATAGGCACTGTGCCGCTGAGCTATGTCAGCAGCTCCTGTAATGTATTTTTAAGCCTGTCTACCTGCTCCACAAAGGAACTACGTTCTCTTATATATAACCTTATAATTATCTCAGCTTCTTGACATTACAAACCTGAGTGTTGCACTCTTTTTTACCAGGACCTAGAATGATGACTGATCAGTGAGTAAAGAGGAACCTACTTTTGCCACTACTGCCCATGAACACACAGCGGGGGGCCAGTATGGAGTCATTCTGTCACAGCTGAGGACAGTGACCCTTGGTTAGAATGGCGTTGTAGAATATATTCTGACTTTGAGTCAGTGAGGAGAAGCCCCACAGAGCCTGATCTCAAGAATGTAGTGCTAACAGTTGCAGCACCCTGCCACGCTTCTAAGGTGTTTTCAGCTAAAATCAGAACTGAAGACATGTCTCAGAGCAGACAGATTAGGAAAGGCAATGTGGCCACAGGTGGGAAATTCACCTCAGGCTACTGTCTAACAGGTTCCCATGAGGCAAGAACCAAAGACTTAATTAATAGTTTCCTACAGATGTCAAGAAGGTACTACTACAAACAGTAAGAAATTTATTGGTACTAGGTTTAATGTTATGGACTAATCCCTCATACATGAACATGTAGACTATCTTTCAATGTGATTAAAACTCTTTAACGGAGCTATATTATAAGGTATTTCTATAAATATTTTACTACTAAATATTTATTCATTTGGATAACACTTAATTTTTAAAGAATACATATAACTTATCTACCGAAATAATGTTTTACTATGACCTGACCTAAATATAAGGGAAAAAATGAGGCTATTTCTTCATAAAGGAAAAAGGAGTATATATACGTCTTACTCGTTTTATTTATGAGTCTTATTTATGATTTTGATACCTACATATATAAATTATACTCATAAATCACCTGAGTTAAGTAAAAGCAAATCAGCTTTTCAGAAAAAGCTAGATATGGAACCAAGTGACTTCAGCTTAAGTCTCATTTCATTCCTTGTTTGTTTTGTTAGGCCAAGTACAGTAAGCTTCAGTTTCTTCATCAGCATTATGAGCACTGGCACTGGCCCTGCCTACCCACCCCGCCGGAAGCACAAGCGATCACGAGAGAACACTCTATAACTGGTACCAGGGGAACTCATACTGCCACCACGCGCTCCCACACTCCTGCACCTCCCTCGCTGTCCACTACTCAATGCAGTGAGGCTTTTGTCTGGTCTGTATACTGCAGTTCCACGTAAGAATCTGGCTAGAACAAGCATTCCACTTTTTAAAAAGTTTGAAACAGAAATACTATACCATAGGAGTTCTCTCTGATAAACAACTTTAAAAATCAAAGACATACAAATACTCTAACAATCATGACAAAAACTTGAGTTTTCATGACAAAAACTACCCATTAGGCACACTGGAACTACTCTAATAATGAGTACTAACTAGTCAAATTGATTAGCTAAAGAATACTTGAGACATTTATAGCAGTTAATAAGTGAAATTTATTCTAAAGAAATCCCCACATAGATTCAAAATAATAATTCCCACATAGATTCAAAAATAATTATGTTATGATTACAGAATTATTAGTAAGTCCCAGACCTGCTGCCAGAAACACAATTATAGCTGTATTTAATACAAAGAACACTTTAAAACAGCTTTGGATATTAGGAAGATTACACTGTAGAATACAAGCCTCTTTGCATTGTCTGGCAAGCAGGTGACAGCATGCTGTAAATACACATTCTAGGCTGAGCAACAGTTTCAGTGTGGCAGTGTTCCAAAAAAGGAAAAGAAAAAACAGTTCATGATAGACATAAGATTGAGAAATTTGGTTTGCTTTACTGTTCTTGAGACCTGAGTGAATACAAAACAAAAAGGCTCTCTAAGGCAAGGTAACAGATCAGCCTCGGCTCTAGAGATACAAAATAACTGCCTGGCAATCCAGGTCAGTACTGTCCACAATGCATGAGAGGTTTTCATGATTCTCACCAGACTGCTTGAGCAGTACCCACTCTCTGCTGGACTTACATTTATCGGTGGCTCTTTATCTTGGTCCTCCAAGGTGGAGGTTACAGTTTATTTACTCTATAAGATTCACAGTGGAGACTTGAGCCCAATGGGTGACATGTAAAACCACAACCCTAAACCAAAGAATGAGTGTGGGCTTGCTGGCATCCAATTATACTGTATTCCCACAAGAACATGAAATAATTTAGCCTCAAAAAATCCATTACTGGGGGCTGGGGAGTGGCTCAGTGGAATAAGTCCTTCTCTGGCAAGTGCAAGGGCCTGAGCTCAATCCCCCGTTCCACAAAAAAAAAAAAAAAAAACACACCCTGACCAGGATCAGTTTCCTTTTTTAGGAGACTGGCATAACTTTCTTATCTTAGTTATACAAAGGAATGCTGTCATTAAGAAAACCTGAAGTTATAAAACAGATATCTAAGTCACTTATAGCAATTACCCTTAAATAGAGATCTCACAGACTTTTTTTTAAATTTTTATTTTTGTATTTTTAGTACAGGGTCTACAGGGTCTCGCTACATAGATCTGATTCTTAGTGATTCTCCTGTTTCCAGCCTCTCAAGCACTGGGACTACAGGTGCATGCCACCATGCCCAGTCGAAGGCAGGGCACACCATGGATCAAACCCCAGCCACTGCACTCTGCCTTAGCAGGCGCTTTAGTCTGCTAAACTATCTGGCTGGCCTGAGATCTCACTTAGAATGGCATCTGACTTACAATGTTCTTCTAGACCATATCTAGTGCATAATGTGAAAGAGAACATTAGTTCTTAAAACTGACTTTAAAAAACTTCATACTACAACAAATCCTAGTATCCTGCACTAAACAAATTATAAATTTAGATAATGAATAAGAGCTAGTCATATCTGGCCACTAACAAAAAGCTGTAATTTCATATGTAATTGAACAATAAAATTCTAATAAGGATAAAATTTTAAATTTTATCCTTATAAATAGGATAAATTTTTTACTCGTTAGAATGGCTAAAAAGTTCATTTTATGGCTTTAATTTCAGCAAGAAACAACTTAAGGCATTTTAAAGTCAATATAATTATGAGAAAACCTAACAAATATTGTAAGTAACTACAGACTAATTCATAAGTAAAACATTAAAAAAAAACAATTCCTAGAAAAATAATTAGGATTGTAATCATTTGCTAAGACGATAACTAAGCACATAATCATCACTGGTCTCCACAACACACTTACTCTGTACACACATACATATTTAACTTGCCAACATTCCTGTAGGCTCTGGTCTGTGAGCTACTCTCCCAAGCCTTTCCTACATCCTAGGAACAACTTCACTGCTCCACCTTTGCCTCTCTTCTGAACTCCTGCATTTTACTATGCCCTGTTCTGTGTGCCACCTAACACCATGCCCCAGAATGACTTCCGCTCAGGCTCCGCTCTAACATCTCTTCCCTTCTCAATCGTTCTCTTCACTCTAAGTATCACTGTGCACACCACTGTTTGAGGAAAAGCCCCAAATGGTTCCCTTCCTCCTTATGCCCACAAACCTCTGCAGCAATTCATATAAAATGTAGAAGCAAATACTGTTGATTCTACTTCTGCACTATTCCTCAAATCCACCCAGTTTTCTCCATTCTCAGCAACACCACTCTTGTTCAATTCAACATTGTCTTTCACCAGTAAGTTTCTTCTTTTTCTTCCCCCTGCAGTCACCATGCCACTGAGCTAGTTACAGCTCCAGCCCCAGGAAGCTTTTTTAAACTGTCCTCTCATCTACTTTGTTGCCTCATAATGTTTTCTCCACGTTTAATAACCAGGACAATTTTTTAAAACATAAATTTGATTAGATCATTGTACTCACTTAAAACCCCTTAAAGATGCTTACTTGCTCTATAAACAAAAAGCTACTTCCTTGCTACACCTCCATAGCAAGGTCCTATCCAGTTTGGTCCCTCCCTGTCAGCCCAACCAGTTCATCTTGGGGTGCCCTTCCTGTGCTGACTGGAGCACAGGCTGGCCTTCTTAGCTATTCAAAGCCTCAGGATAACTCATCCTTAGGATCTCACATCCTTGGGATCTTCACCTGTGTTTCCACCTCTGCAAATCATTCCTCATCTCTCTTTCTTTTGCCCACCCTTCAGGTTTCACTGAAATCGTACCATCTAAGAAACTTTCCTTAACTACCCAAACTCAAGTGAGGGTCTCATTTCAATTTTTCACTACAACCTATTCTTTTCCTTCCTGTTTTTTAACAACTTGTAACTATACATCTACCTGGCATCTTCTTGGTACACAATGGTTACTATAACTTTTTAACTGAACAAGCTAATGAACAAGTACCCTAGATAAGACTAATCACAAATTGGTTAATACAAAATGCAATTTAAAAGCTCTTACCTTTTCAACCTTTTTCTTTTTAACAGGGGGTTCAAATCTATCATTGGCTCCAAAGTACTGAGTAAGCTCCTTCCATTGGGTCTCACTCATGGACTGCTGACTGCAAGAAAATAAAAGCTTAAATTTTGCTTTACTCATTTTATTTTTTACTATGTTTTATTTGCTACAGTTTTAATCATTAGTTCTTTATGTATGATTAGGATCAGAAATCAGTAGTTCAGCTATCTGAAGTTCTACAAATACTGCCTAAAGTAAGTACCTATTTTTAAATTCTACCTACCTCTGAGACTCTTTTTCATTCGGCAGTTTATCTGAAAAGAATTCGCAGAACATCAATACTTCAGTTATTTCAAAATCATGTTAAAAAATGATTTAATTTAATTAGTCATAATATAGTATCACAACCACTGACAATGTGAATTTAAAGACAACACCACCTTTTCTGGAGCGTTTTCTCTTTCTCCTTCTGAATCTTGAGGCTGAAGTTTTCTGTTCAGAATGTTTTTTATGCAGTTCTTGAAATTTCTATGTGAAAATTGAGAAAAGAAACATATTGAAGATAGTCATGTATTTTAAAAACAACAAATGTGCTAATAACAATTTGACATTTATGAAAATGTCAATTAATGAAGAGAAGAAATACTCTATTATGAGATACTCAGGCCTGTGCTTCATTCATTACTTCTGGTGTTAGCTTGTCTGATGATTGAGAGTGAAACTAAATGCCTCAGACAAGCAAATAAAAGAAAGCGAAAGACTCCTTTCTCAGGTCAGGCACAACAATTAATTCTACGCAGTATTTTTTTTCCTAGGTCTTTTAATGAAAAACAGCAACAAAACTTAAAATATTAAAAGTATCTATAGATTTAGAGAATAGTAAGAAAAATGATCTGGACCCACATTCCCTATCTGGTGCATTTCAAGAACATACACTGCAACTACAGTAGTAAATCCAGAGACAGATAGACAGAGAGACAGACAGAGAAACAGGGACAGACAGACAGACAGACATACACACACACACACACACACACACTCTCTCTCTCTCTCTCTCTCTCTCACCAAGGGCACATCAGAAAAAACTTACATTCCACATATTTAAGGGAATTCCAGAAGGGCACTCTTCATATGCATTGGTTTTGGTCTCTGTTTCAGTTTTTGGTTCATCTTCTGGGAAACCTGAGACTTCTGTTTCTCTAGTGGTCCCATCCTCTTTGTCTTCCTGTAAGTTATGATCACTGTTCTGTAGTGTGGGCTCCTCTTCAGAATCCAACTCAGTATCACTCTCCTTTAGACCGGGAGGCAGCAGTCCGCTCCACATCTTTTCTTCTAGAATGAAAATGATGAATCAGATGTAAACTGTAACACTGGAAACAATTTTTAAAACCATTAAAAGACAGCCTGAGAGCTTAATAATCACTGGTCTAGGAACAGTCCACATAAACTTTTTTGTTTTAGAACCCTCTGTAGTAAGACAGCCAGAACTTTCACTTGTTAGAAAAAAAATTAAAAGTAGATTTAGTGAGTGTTTCAAAACATGTCAAAAGGTAAAAAAACTAAGACCTTGATTTTCTAACACATGGGTAATATTTTTCTAAAAACACAGAAATTCCGTAAAACATTCATTGCTCAAGAAAGTTAGAAACCAGTGTACTTTTCAGGCAATGTATTTACATTTCTACCTACACAACTTGACAGCACAATAAAGATGGGTATTTACCCTGTATATGAATGTATAAAACTTTAAGGGGGCTTGTTGTGTAAAGAGTAAACAGACGAAAAATTTAAGATGATCAATCAGCTTAAAAAGTATAACAAATATCCTACTTATAACTTTTACATTGTTTTCTAATACTAAATGAACTACAGCAATTTAGCATTATTGTAATATAACTTTCACTGGAAATTAATGTTAAAATTCAGGATGACACTGTATTTAATATTAGTTGCACACTCCACTGGTAGAACCATTAATTATTACTAAGTTTAATGAAAATGATTATTTAAATTAGAGCTGTAGTCATTTGCTGAGGCAATAACTAAGCACTGGTCTCTATAGCACAGCCTACTTCTTACATACATACTGAACCAAATCAGGTCACCCACAAGATGTCTAATACAAAGGAGCTGACTATACTGCTCATGACTTACTATTAATCCGAAGGGGTAAAATGAAAGAACAGAAATCTGTTTTGCTGAGACTGCTGTTAAAAATGTTGATTAACCAAGGGGACAAAAACCATTTCTATTATATCTGGGACAAAAAAACATCAAGAGGTTTGCAGTCATCTCTTTCAAGAACCTCCTCCCAGGTCCAAAGAATGAGATTGTACATTTTGTGGTTTTAGTCCAGCTTCATTAGTTGTGGGTTTTCTGAAACATCCTAAAATATTCTCTTGGCTTTTTAAGGACTCTGGACTCCTCCACTTCGATTCCGGGTCCTGCCATCCATTAGTGGTATAAAGAAATTATTTATCATCTCTGATCCTTATTTGAAACAAGAGGATAATCATACTGTCCATAGGGCTAGTCCAAGGGTTAAATGGAATAAGGCTCTCAACCAGTATTTAGAAGAACCTAGGAGCTCAAGAAATGTTAAGCTCCTTTTACCATCATTATTTCTGTGGCTACGTATTACACTTGCATCATGTCTACTATGGGTGACAGGATTCAAAATACAGTTTTGAAGTCTCTAATATTTATTCACTTAAGAACTGATAAAATTATTTCCCTATTTCCACAGTCTGATATGAAATTTCTACTAAAAAACTTGTATTTGATTTGCTACCTAGAACAATAAAATGAAAGATAAACTATCAGGTAGAAGATGAAGCTCAGACTTCAATTTTCCTCATCTGTTTAGACCCTTCCAAACAGCATGGTAGTAGATTTTCATTCAGAATTTGCATTCTTTTTATGTTTTTTAAAGCAGAGACTCAATTTTTTTTTACAAGCTCCAGGCTCCATAAAACCCAAACCCATTCCTAAACTTAGCCTATGAATGTTAAAAAATTGCCACAGAGGTACTCTTGAGATTCTCTGTCAAAACATTAAAAGAAAAAAAAAGCTGATATTCAAAATGACTACTATCCTAGTAATAAAAATATTTCAACTATCCTAAGGAGCAAGGGGTGGAGCACAGCAGTAAGCTCCAATATGGTTTTGCCCCTGCCATAAAAATATACCTGTAAGTTCACTATCCATTTAAGGACTTGAGGACAGTAACAGCTTTCTCCTTAACATAAGCAGAGTCTGTGTTAGCACTGTTCCTTCTCCCGTCCCTGGCACTTTTTACACATTCACTGTGTGCTAAGCACTCTTTCAGACCATGGAAACAGAAACAAAACAGAACACCTATTTTCATGATGGGACGTCCACATGCAGGGTGCAGCCACGTGTCAAGTCAGTCTGCATCTTACAGGGTGTGCTTCCCCCACAGGGCAGTTTCAGGGCACCTGCTAGGCCACTGTTGTTGCATCTCTGCAGGAGGACAGTCTACGCCAGCAGCGGCAAACCTATGGCACACGTATCACACCACGGCCGGCTCTTTGTACCACTAAAAGCTCCTAAAGGTTCACCATCTCTGGTCGACGCTCTCAGTGCCCAAATGGGCCTCCTCCTGGTACCGCTTCAGTTTTCTTAACAGCTTGCTTTTCCTTCACGTTTTTAGCCCACACCAGCACACTCAGGCAGAAAACAGTGCAACAATGATGGGTAGTCATTACTTTTTATGACTTTTTGGACTTTTAAAAAATTATTTTTAATTCCTACTGACATGGCATTAAGAACTGTATTCAATATTGCCTAGCATGATGAACTGAGTGTACTGAAAGATAAAAGAAAATTGAAGCAACTTTTAAAAATGGAACCTACCTTTAAACCCATGAAACAAGGCAAAATTCAAACAAGGAATGTTTCTAAAACATCCTTAGCTCTTGAAAATCTTTAGTCATGTGCCATGCTCTTATGACTGTTAAAAACCAAAACAAGCAAACAACCAAATAAAGGGAGACCCAGCAGCCACTGATCAGCAGCGTAACTGTCGCCACTCCCTACGGGGCCTGCCAAATGGAAATGCCCTGTCAGGTAGTACCTCAGGTTTAGTCAGTCAGCATGGACTGGTTTAGGGACTTCTGCTGCGGGTTCCTGTTTGAAAACATCGAGTTCATATGGACAACATACACGTCATTCATGTCATATATGTAATTTAGGCATGTTCTAAATGGCCTCCTGTCATTCCTCTTTTTGGCTGCTCTGAAAAATAAATTTTTCTTTAACACTTCTCTTACTAATGCCTTTCACAGCGTACTTCTTTATTTTAGATCAGATAACTACAAACTACCATTTAACTGAGAAACTACCATTTATTCAGCCATTCTCAATAAATATGTAATATCAAAGAAATAGAAACTTTTTTAATGTAGATTAAGCCAGTCTATAGAACAGCCAATGTATTAATTCAGTTTTAGTCCATAAACCAAACAGCTTAAGAATTTTAGGCCCAAGGAAAATCTGAATGAGTTACAACACTTTTTTTCTCTATAGCTTTGAATATCACCTTATTATTTCATACACACTTCACCTCTTGATTGAATATTTCTTCTAATCCAGAGTTATCCTACAAAACATTGTATATAACTATGCAGAACATCTTAGGCCTGGGCTGACACTATCATAAACTAAAAATATTTCTGTATCAAACTGATGTGAATAACTGTATTCTTCTGCTTTTGAAAACCACTCATCGTCATTATTTAGCACACGTGGGCAGAGGGGCACCAGTGCAGAAGGTCCTATTCTGGATCATGGCAGTAACTGGAATCACTAAGTTAAATGCAGTGTTTTAAAAAAACCCAACATATTTTTCCTCTCAATGAGAAACAACTCATCCACTATGAGGTGAGGAGATTTAAATTCAGTGAAGCATTCACTATGCCTTAGCACACCAGAGATGCTGCCTGAAACCTTTTATAAGAAAAACAATGAACACAGTTTAGTAAAACAATTTTTTTTTCTTTTTTCCTTTTTTTTGTGTGTGGCACTAGGGATTGAACTCAGGGCCCTGCACTTGCCAGGCAAGTGCTTATTCTACTGAGCTATCTCCCCGGGCCCCAAACACAATCTCTGAAAATACAGAATCCATACATTTCAAAGTGTAACAAAAAGAGTTCCAGACTCTGCAGGAACTGGGAACTATTGGTCACAGGAGCAAAAACTCTCGTCTTCAAGTCAGATGCTTTCTAGTTCAAAGCAAGTCAATGTATTTGTCTGGGTCACTTTAAAAGGAATGTGTGACCAGATAATCTATGAGAAGACTCTAAAATGTTTATGATCTTAATATTATTAAAGTGACCCCGCCCAGGGGTACCTCACTCCTTGCTGCAACATCCCATTTTCTTCCAGTATATACCATCGAACTCCCAAGAGATAAGGTGTCCATGCTCTATCTACTAGCCCAGCTAGGATTACTAGCTTCAAACTGTACATCAGGACACTGAGAAACGAAAGGAAACCACAGTTACAACAGAACACAGAAGGAACAGAGAAAATGAAGCAGGTCAATGTCACGACATATAAACAAAGTGGCAGGCACTGGTTTACCATTAATCCTCACAACAATCTTTTCACTAAAAATTACTATCTACACCCTTTTTACAGATGAGGTAACTGACTTGCCTAACACATTGTAATCCATTCATTTTTAAAACTAGAACCCCGTGGCCTTTAAGTTATGAACTTTTAGACAGCAGAGTTGTGAGGGCTAAAATTCTTGGAGAAGACCAAGATTTAAGAGCAAAACCAAAGAATGATTCTAGCCTATAAATACAGACTTGCTAAAATGTAAGATTTTTTTTTTTCCTGTAGTTTTGAAGTACAAAAATCTATATAAGGTATTAAACTACAAAATTTCATTCGGAAATTTGGGTAATGTCCTATTTTCCATTTTACCTATAAACAAAACCCCAAAGATATAATCTGAACAGATCAATGGATAAATGTTTCCTGTCTCTAATAGACAAAAAATAAATTCTATTACCAAAGGAAACTATCTTGTATTCTATATTTTGAATTCAATTACAAGTAAATTTGAATCTTTTCTAATCTAAATACAGTCATACCTGTGGAATAATCATAAACCACCATCCACTAATCTTAAAAAAAACTTTGTTAAATAATTACACCTAATCAGTTTCTGTGCTTTGGAATTATTTAACTAAAATACTTGCTACCAGGTATCATCAACAGGCATGTAACTGTCTTATTTACTTTTATGGCGTACAAAGATACAGGAAATATAGCTGAAGAATAGCCCTGAGTTAGGGTTCAAATTGTCAATCTGCTCAGCCAGATAAACTAGTCGGCGGGATTTTGCGCGTACGCACGTGTTTAACCAGACAGTGACTTGGGGGGAAACACTTCCGGACGCCTGAGCCCGCGCGGAAGGCTGACACCCGCGGGGCGGCCGGGCTCCCCGCGACGGAAGCCGCCGCCAGAATACTTACGCGCTTCAGCCGCGAGCGGCGGCTCGAGGAGGGCAGCCCGCTTCCCGTCGCTCGCAGGCGGCAGGGCTCCCGCCACCCGAGCCGCCCAGGGCCGCGCCCGCGGAGTCCGGCGGGAGGTGGGCCTCGGGCCTCGCTGGGGACGGAAGCCGCTCTCCCGGAGACAGCCGTACAGCCGAGCCTGCGTCCCTGCCCCCGAGCTCCTCACCCTGTCTCACTCTGGCCGGGACGGTGCAGGGAAAGCTTCTCCCACTAACTGGCGGGCGAAGGCGCCGCGACGCCCCCTCCGAGCACCGCGCGCGCCATCGCCCGGCGGACCCGGCAGGAAGCTCTCGAAGCCGTCCCGGCACTTCGGCCAGCGAGCTGTGAGGCGCCTCAACCCGGCCCCTCCGCTCCCCTCGCGGGGGCCCGTGGACCCGTCAGGACGGCGACCGAGCCAACCCCGCCAGCGGCGGCACTCACCGACCAGGAAGCGGACTCCCGGCGTCCATTTTAAGACCTGGTCAACATCGTGCCTTCTCATTGGCGGAAGCGTCTCAGCCAATGGGCTGGCGCCGTTCTGATCTGGAGGTTGCCATGGTGACGGCCTCCCTTGATTTCCTTTTTATGCTGACCTGAAGGAGGTGGTTTCTTTTCTTTCGCCTCCTCTTTTCTGCTTTGCTTTGCTGTGCTGTGCTGTGCTGTGCTGTGCTGTGCTTTGCTTTTGCTTTTGCTTTTGCTTTTGCTTTTGCTTTTGCTTTTGCTTTTGCTTTTGCTTTTGCTTTTGTTTTTGTTTTTGTTTTGTTTTGTTTTTTCTACACTGAACTTCTTTTAAGAGCTTTGTTTGGGTTTTTTCCACATTCCTTGTCCTCTGGTGCTCCAGGGAGACGAAAGTGCTGATTTGTATAGTGAAGTGAGTTCTCAAGGAGATCAAGTTGTAGATGCTCACTGGGCTTTCTGGGACCATTTTCATTTATCTATCCTTTTACCTTCCCTCCATTCTTTCCTTCTATTCTGCACATATTTATTTACTGTCCGCCGTGTTCCAGGCACCATGCCATTCTTTGGTTAGCGGAAGACAGCAAGACTCTTGGTCTCCAGATGATTGAGTCCAAGCTGCCTGATGGACAGATTGGGTAGCCGTGGTCAAACGCTTATGAACTCTTTTTTTTCCCCCAGTCTTTTAAATGAATATAGGTGTAAAATTCATCAAAAAGATACTGGCAAACAGAACGCAACAAAAAAAAAAAAAAATCAAGTCATGATCCAGTAGGCTTCATCCCAAGGATGCAAGGATGATTCAACATACTCAAATCAATAAATGTAATATATTACCTGAACACAAGATACAAAGATCACATGATCATCTCAACAGATGCAAAAAAGCCTCCAGCAGGGGGCTCCTGGGTTAGCTCAGTTGTTGAAGCACCTGCTGGTGCAAATCTAATCAGGAACAGGAGACTGGGGTTCGATCCCCAGCTTCCCATGCCTCACCAGACCTGTCCTTAAGGCAGCCTATGCCAGCCCCTGCCCCACCCCCAAAAATTCCTTCTTAACTTTTAGGGCTGGCCAAATAGCTCAGTGGATTAAAGCACCTGCTTAGGCAGACCCAGGGGTCAGGGGTTCGATCCCTGGGCTGCCGCACCAGCCCTGCCCCCAGGGCACAAAGAGATGGCGATTGAGACTGGGCATGGCAGCGCAAGCCTGTAATCCCAAAGTTTGGGAGGCTGAACACAGGCAGATTACTACAAATCCAATCTATGTAGTGAGACCCTATAGATCTTGTACTAAAATACACAAAAAAAAAAAAAAAAAAAAAAACTCAACATCTTTTCAAGATAAAAGCACCAGCCAGATAGCTCATCAGACTAAAGCACCTGCTTAGGCAGGTTCAGGGACTAGGATTCAATCCTCAGCATGCAGTGCCAGCCCTACCTCCAAGGCGTGCTGAGATGGTGAATAAGACTAGGAATGGTGGCACACCTGTAATCCCAGCACTTGAAAGGCTGAAAACAGGAGGATCACTATGAGTCCAATCTGTGTAGTGAGAATCTGTAGACCCTGTACTAAATACATAAAAAAGTTTTTAAAAAGAATAAGTATAGAAGCCACTTAGGACAAGCCAGCTACTAACATGTTAAATGGGAAAACTTTCTGAAAACTTCCCCCTTTAAAATCAGGAACAAAGGGGCCAGGGAGATAGCGCAGTAGAATAAGCGCTTGCCTGGCAAGCACGAGGACCTGAGTTCAATCCCCGGTTCCGCCAAAATAAATAAATAAATAAATAATAATCAGGAACAAGACAAGAATGTCCGCTATCACTTCTATTCAACATAGTGACAGGAAAACTGTTGGGAAAAAGGCACCCTCAAACCCACACAAGACCACAATCATGTTAGCTGGCACGAAAGGAGCAGTTTATTGATGGCAATAAGCATGTGATGGGCTGCTCAGCAGCGATGGCTGGGGAGGCAGACACTTTATGGAGCAGGCAGGAATGGGTAAAGTGAGTCATCAACTGTCCTTCGCTGAGCCAGGGTGTTCTGGGTGGGCAGGAATGGGAAAGGGGAGCCATGAAGCGTCCCTGGATGGGCCAGGGTGTTCTGGGCATGAAGTATAGAATCCTTGAAGCAAGCTGAAACAAAGCCATATGCATAAGCAGCCGGGCGCAGACAGCCCAGGTTAAATCTTTGCAGCAGGGTTGTGGTTGGCGCATCCGGGAACGTCGGAAGTGGTGAGGGGGAAGGGGACCCACGGCTGGGTGCCTTAACAAACAGTACTCAAAACATTAACAAGAAAAGTCAGGCAAGAAAAAGAAATAAAAGAGATATGTGTAAAGGAAGAAGTCAGATTATCATTATTTGCAGGTGACAGGTTTTCTGTGCTATAGACCCCAAAAGTCCACTAAAATACTCCTAGATTTATAACCAAATTCAGCAATGTAGTGGGATACAAAATCAACATCCACAAATAATGACAAAGAAATTAGGAAAACATATCATTCACAATAGCACCAAGAAAAATTAAATACTTAGGAATTAACTTAAATAAGGAAATGAAGGACCAATAAAAATAGTGTTCTGAAATTCATTTATTTTTTTTTTCAATAAATACTATAATATTCTGAAAAACAAAATTGAAGATAACATCACAGGATGGAAAGATGTCCCTGGTTCCAGAATAGACAAAACCAATATAGTAAAAATTATCATATTTTCAAAATTGATACGCAGATTTAATATAATCCCAATCAAAATACCAACAGCATTCTTCATAGAACTGGAGAAAACAGTCCTAAGATTCACATGGAACCAGAAGAGACCCAGAATAGCAAAAGCAATCCTGGTAACAATAGCAAAAAGGAAGGCAATCCCAAAATTGAAGTTAAATCACAGAGGTACATTGATAAAAACAGTATGGTGCTGGTACAGAAACAAACATGAAGATCAATGCAACAGAGGAGAGAATGCAGGGGGAAAAAGCACATTCAATTATTGGATTAAGGCTGTGGGGAAATTCAGGATTATTTCTACATTGGTGGTGGGAATGTAAACTAGTACACCCACAGTGGAAGTCAGTATGGAGATTCTTGTTATGGTTTGTATCTTGGCGTTCCCCCAGAGCCTCAAGCAGTCACTGGGCTGGGCTTCTAGGGTTTGTGATTAATCCTTGATCCAATGCTGGGATTATGGGTGAGCATTTCTGGGATTAGGCATGTGAGTGCTGCACCCTCCCTGGGACAGAGAGCCTGAGTGCAATGCAAGGAAAGCAGGAGGCTTCTCTCAGCCTCGGCTGTTAATTCTGCTGCTCGTCCCTTTTCGTTTCTGCTGTTTTGCTGTTTTCCACTGCTGGGAACTGTCGTCCTCTGCTTTGTGCCACTCTGCCTTGGAGCCAGCGGATTATGAACTGAAACCTCTGCAAACTGTGAGCTAAATAAACCTTTCCTTCTTTATTCTTGGGTGTTGGGGATTTTCTCCCAGCAATGTGAGAAAAGTAACCGAGACAATACCCCAAGAAACTAAAAGTATAAATCTCATCCAAGCATCTTCCTGAAAGAGTTAACGGCATCATATCCTAGTGCTGCACGCTCACACGCTCACATTGAGCACAGCGCAATTCACAACAGCTGAATCTTGGAAGCAGCCTAAGTGTCCACCAACAGAAAATGTGGTGTTTTCACATCGTGGATTTGAGCTTCACAGTACAGAAAGATGAAGCTGAGTCGTTTGTAGGAAAGTGGATGCACTTTGAGACCATAATGTTGAGTGAACTATATCAGACACACAGGCTTAAATGTCACCCAGTTTCCTTTATATAAGAAACTCAAAATTTAATAAGGAGCAAAATAAAAACATAATAAGAAGAGAGATGGATCTTTCTCAAATGAGGAAGGGAACCAAAAGATGGGAAGATGGGGAGGTAAGGGAGGTAACAGGATGAACAAAGGAAGTAAGATGTGTTATATATGTGTACCAACTCCCCACTAAGAATCTAAACGTTATGTACTGCAAATGTGTACTAATTTAAAAATAAAAGATTATGTAGCAAACTCTTTTGGATAAACTGTCCAGCTTCTTCACAGAGTTTTCTTTTTTGATTCAAATCTCTAAAATGTTAAATAGTGAGTTAGGCAAGGTACAGTACACCTATAGTTTCAGCACTTGGGAGGCTGAGGCAGCAGGATCACAGCAAGTTCAAGGACAGCCTGGGCTACGTCGTGAACTCAAGGACAGCCTCAACTGCATAGCAGGACCTGGTTCTTCTCCCCTGCCAAAAAACAAGAACAAAAACAAAAACAACAACAACAACAAAAAAAAAAACAAGTAGTTCAAAATATGTAGGATAAGAAATTGCTGTTGAAACTGTTTGCCTTGAGCATCTTAATTGCTGTATTAATCTGCTTGTACCACTGTAGTAAAATACTACAGATTGCTTAACGAACAGATTTATTTCTCAAGTACTGAATGCTGAGTGGCATGCTGGCAATTGGATTTTCTGAGCCCTCTTCTTTTGACTTGTGAATAGTCGCTATCTGTGATCACGTGGCCACTCTGTGAGCACGAGTTGGGGGAGTTCTCCACTGCCTCTCCTCTCTTCCTGTAAGGACTAATCCTATTGGTCAGGGTTCTAGCCTTTTGACTTTACTCAATTGTAATTGCTTCTTTAGAGACCTTAATATAACCACAGTGTGGATTAAAGCTTTAACAGATGAATTTAGGGAATGC